TCCTGTTACGGGTATTAGCATCACTGATGAGTGGCTTCTCAATTGCAGCACGGCCAGCAATTCCCTGTTTATGAAGCTCCCTTCTAATTGTTTTGGTACTCGCAGGGTTCGGTAACACAACATTCATTTCAGCAGTAACTTTTGCACCTGTGGTCTTCTTATTTTCCTTTTTTTGGTCTTAAGCGGAGGCCCTAAGCTAGCTTGTGTAGCTTATACGCAAAACCTGCACCATCAGTCCTTTTCACATAAGACATACTTCATAGAGACCTCATAAAAGTCCACTGTATATAAATATGCTATTTTCCTGTTTTAGGTTAAGTTAAATTATTTAATACAACAAAGCACACGAGGTTCTCTGGTGTGGTTTGGTGGAAGAGGAGAGGGATGGGAGACCCTTGGACCATTTCCCCCCCAGGGTGCTTTCCATCAAAATTGAGGGCGAAGCTGAGCCAAAATGCACTGTCACCCGTTAGGTGCTCAAAGTTGTTGCCAACGGCAGGCGTAATCTTGCGCTCCTAACCACGAGGAATTTTTTGGGCTTCGGCTGACTCCGTCAGACAAGTGAGCATAAGCAACAACAACAAGCACATGAAGGTTATCTGCCTATGTGAAGGTATACCTTCTTGGAGGACTTTCTAAGACAAACTGGCTCTTTATCACATTACACGGGGCTAAAGCCATGAAAATCAACTAGGCAGTGAATCCGGCCACTTGAGTTTGAACTCAGTTCGAACCACCAGTATTCAGCGATTTTAAACACGCGCACATTGGTGGGTTCTATTTTCACTTCCTTGTACAAAGAAAACGAACTGTTATAATCGCAAAAAACTTGGGTATCTTATTTCAACGGAAATATCCATTTTGAACGTTCTCGAATCCAGTTGGACGATTTTTTTGTGTGATGTCAGTATGTACGGACAGAATGAGGGACTCTTTCTTTCTTTTTTTTTTAAACGGTCTGTAAAAAGGTTTAAAATGAAGCGGAAAGGTTTTAAGTCCCTGAAGGACTATTGTTTTCGTTTTGCGATTTTGCGTCGCAAATGCATGTATATTCTCTCGCATTGTGGTAAAACAATGGTAATAGAACCATCTAATTTTGAATGACGTAATCCTCCTACGAATATTTGGAATTTGTTGATTAATAAACTCAAGAATTTCAAGGCGAGCAATGGCAACGTTGTACAAAAAAAAAAAAAAAAAAAAATTTTGAAATTTTTTTTTTTAAATTACGTCCAAAGAGGCGTTTTTTTAACGTTTTGAGTGTTACTTTATTTATTAAATATCAAGTTCTTTGCCTAAACCATAAATTCAGTTCAAGAGCATATCGCAAAATAATGTTAATTAAGCATATCTTTAGAATTTCCGATATACACAGTCTCGTGACCTGGAGATAAAAGTATTTTTTTCTATATAACGTTGCCATTTCTCGCTTTAAAGCATTGAGTTTGTAAATCAAAAATTCGTTAAAGTTTTAAAAATTAAAATCTATAATAAAACAAATTCCAAATTTGGGATTTCAGATGCCCATTCGCAGTAGGATTTCGTCATTCAAAATTCGATGGCTCTATGTCCATTGTTTTATCACATGCGAGAAATAGACAATCATTATGCAGATTTTTCATTATTTAATTCTTCAAATATAATGCAGGACTCTAACATTTTGTGGCAACAGTTTGAAAAGTGAACCGACGTTTATGAGTCCGACGCAAAATGCCAAAACGAAAGCAATAGCCCTTCGGGACTGAAATCCCTTTGGACTAAAAATTACCTCCAGCGCGTGAGTTCTCTATATCGGAAAATCTAAAGATATGCTCATTTTAAAAAACTATTTAGCGATATTGCTGTTGAACTGAATTTTATGGTTTAAGTGCGAAGAACGTGATATTTAATAAATAAATGCGACACACAAAATGTTAAATAAAACGCCCCTTTGGACGTAATTTAAAATCTGAAACATTTCAAAGCATTTCAGATTTTTTGTTAAATTTAGTTATTTATATTTTATTTTATTAATTTTAATATTTTGAGTAAATATAGAATTTTTAATGGGTTCTTTGAACGTTTTTTAGAAAAACTAATTTCCCAGTTTTGTTTTGAAAAAGTTGATTCCCCAGTTTTCAATGAACTGAAAGGATAAAAAATAATCTAATATGGAAGCAAGAAATTAAATAATTATCTTTACAAAATTCATATTCAGATTTATATTACTAATAGTGGGCGCCTAAATGACGAAATCGACTTAGACTCTATAATTGACGCAGTTATTGCGAAGAGCAATGTTTGCCGGTTCCAGAATTAAAGCCCAAGGGCACATAATATAAAGAAATCCTGACGCGGAGAAAATCTCAGATGAGAAAACGGAGAAAAGGGGAAGAAGAGAAGTACCAAAAGGAGCAAGACAATCAATCGGACAAGTTTGCAAAACGTGACGAGCGATCATAGCTTTCAAGGAGGACCCAAGACAATCCAAATCAGTGACAACAATATGAGAAAATACACTACAACAATAGTTCCAATGACAAATTCAAATACAACTAAACAACCTCAATCAACTGTGCTAAATTCAACACAATACAATACAACTATACAACACAATTTTAATACAACTATTCAACGAAAATAAAGTTGTACCCCAAAGCAACAAGGATACTATCGCTGTAGCATCCCTGCCGGGATTCGAACCCGGGACCTTTGGATTAGAAGTCCAACGCGCTATCCACTGCGCTACAGGGACTACGACGAAATCGAATTTCATTGTCAAAAGTATATTCTTTTAGTTTATTTAATTAGTATGCCAAAGCACCAAGGGCTATCTGCCCAAGGGAATGAATGCCTTCGTGGTGGACGTTCTGAGTTCTAAAATCTATTAGTCTCGAGACTCGTTTTGCTTTGTTTCAGTTTAATGCGTTGTTTCACTTTTCATTCGAGATTGCTATCAATCGGCAAAATGTAAGATAATTTTTATTTTTCCGTGACTTCTGTACATACTTACGCACGGACGTATGTATGTTTTTCACATAACTTAAAAACGATTAGCCGCAGAACGTTGAAATTTTGTAAATGGGACTATTATAACATCTAGCTGTGAATCGCGCTTTTATTATTGAAGTCAGTAGTACCAAAGAGTAAGAAATTTTTTAAACATTTTTTTTAAAAAGATTGTCCTAGAAAAAAAAAAAGATTATCCTAGGAAAAGATTGCATGGGGAATAAAAAGTGCTACTAGGCAATCGAGAGTAAGAATGCGTTATTATTTGAAATTATTATTTATATTATTAAAGTTGGAAGGTTTGCAGTAATGCTACGTTGACAGAATTTGGCAGAGAGCTGATTAGAGAAAATGAAATAAATTCACGTTTTAGTCATGGCCGAGGGAAAAAATGTTGCTTAAATATGACTGAAGGAAAAATCTCAGCTAGCTTGATCGTTAAAGCATCAATTTTATTCTGAACAGGGATAATTCTTCAGAGATACACTTTTCTTTAATTGGTACAACATTAAGTGTGCTAAACGCGCCCTACAATTTTAACGCAGTTGACATTTTAGACAATAGCAAAAGAAGCTTGTCGAAGAGACGTGACATTCCTAGACAGTACAGCCAGACAAAAAAGTGATGCGTATTAACTTCAGTCGTATTTAAAATCTTGGAAAGTCTTTGTTTTAATCCTGAGTAGCAACTCGGCAAAAGATTTCGCAGTGCAGAGAAATTGCAGGAAAAGAGTAACGTAACATACTGCAGATTAACAGAAAATGGTGCAAAGCATATTCTTGAAGAAGAGATATGTTTTAAACACACAGTTTTTAATTAAATACATCCTCTCTTGGAGGATGTGCTTTGCGCCATTTTGCGTCACTACTCATACTGGGGCTTAATTCTTTAAACGTGCCACTTTTGTAAGCTAGTGATAGCATTGGTATTTCTGCTATACTCTGCTTCAGTGGTATTCAAATTGTGATCGCGATCCCTATCATACGAAATCTGGTTTGGTTTAGTTGATTATAGCAAAGTACACTAGGACTATCTGTCTAAGGGAAGAGATGCTTTCGTGGAGGACTTTTCTAATGGAAACTGGCTCGTATACACGCTACTCATGGTGAAAATCACGAAAACGCCCATGCAGCCAGCTCGTTTGCCTGAAATCGAACCTAGATCGGAATTATCAGGGTTTAACGATTTCACCGCTCGACCGTTGGTGGGTTTTGTAAGAAATTTGAATTAATGATATATAACTAAGGGTCGACACTCTGATTCGGGTCGCGAAATTACTTTTTTGGGGTCTTTTGCAATTCTATAGGTTCGGACTGCCGTAAAGTTTGCAATACATACATACTATTCAGTTTGAATTCTGTTCTATACATCCATATAGCCGTAATGTTTCTTCTGAAATTCGAACATGTTGCGTACCAATGTTTTCTTGAAATAATTTGTACTCATTGCGAGTTAGTTGAAATACAGCTAAGATGGCAATGTCAAGCAGCCCGATCAGCGAGTACTTTTTTCCAATAGCTCACATGCTGGCTTTATTTGTTGTTCCTTCTATTGCTAGAAAATACGTTTCATTGTTAGAGAAACCGGCAAATTCAGCCACTTCTAGCACATTTCGTTCGCTTAAAAGATCAAATGCAATTATTCTGTAATGTCTTTCTTCCGATCCATCTTATTATTAAAAAAAAATGGCAACCGTCAAGTAATACAGTTTTTACTCACACTTTGAGTCATGTATCTCAAAATTTTCTCGTATTTCCGCTTGACTGGCAAGTACAGGAGCAGTTTCATATTAAGAAACAACAGAATAATGACCTGTTCATCAAAGGTCTTATTCCATTTCATATATTGCAGCTGAAAGCACTAAAAAGTAGCTAGGTATGATAAGTAAATAAATAAAGATGCTGAAAAAATATACACAGATTAGTAAATAGTAGAAGTACTAATAGGTAATAAGTAGCAAAAAAAGTAGATAAGTAGTGTGAATTAATTAATAAATATTTTTATTATTTCAGCCCTTGCGATGTTCTTGAATCAGAAAGTTCTGATCCCACAAAACTGACTGCAGAAGAGCTAAAGAAACAGATGAAAAAAGCCGGTCGTCGCCTTTCCAGAACACTTTCTCGGAGCTTATCTGTTGAAGAACGTAAATCTAAACAAGTTCGATTCATCGAACGCGAGAAGATCGAAGTCGGAAGAGTAAGAGTTCGAATTGTTAAAGCAGAAATTAAGAAATTGGCTTTGCTGTTAGCGAATAGAGTAATAGTTGGGTGGGGGGGGCATCCAGCACTTGTCGATACATCACCAAACATTCCATTTTCTTGTTAATTTTTTTTCCCGCCAGATGAACTAATTAGTCTCAAATCTCGCTTTTTTGTCCGTATCACTTTTCAAATGTATTGCTATTCGGCAAAGCGTAAGATACACATGTCTTTCACATCGATTATGAAATAAAAAACAGTCTGTACCGAACAGAACTGTATGTACACTCTGCACAGAAAACTCCCGTTCTACCGGGCCGATTAATTAAATTTAATTTGCGTTTTTCATGTCTCTAAAGCGCGACTTAGGATAAATATTAGATTTATATATAGCATTTTTAAAACATAGGTATTTTGACACAAAATTGGATTTTTTCTGAAAAGGCATTTTTTTTTTTAATTTCAATTCTATGACTCAAATTATAACCAAATATTAAATTTTGTAAAATTTGGTGAGAAAATTACCGAGAAATTCAAAACTTATTTCGGCGTACTTTTTTTAGTTTGCGCCAAGAATAATACATTTGGCGAAATCCTTATTTATAGGAACCTATTTTTTTCCCTTTCCCTTTTCTCATTGTGCACGAGCGGAAAGAAAGTTGCATTTTCATTCTTTTAAATAATTTTAAAAAGTGCGTAATGTAGGTGCATTTAGAGTTATTATCGCTTATAACAAATATGTGAAATTTCAAAATCAATATATAAATTCAAGTATAGATTTGAAAATTTTGAATAAAAAAATTCTTAACTTTTTGCAGGTGTGCCTGGAAATACATCTGCTTTAAGGTGATGGCAAACATTTTATAGGTTATAATTCCAAATGTTTTTGAAAAACTTATAAAAATTACTAAAAAATACAAACTTTAAAAAAAATCGGAAAATATCTGCGAATCTTATTTGGATTGAACCTAACTTTCGAATTGTGAAAGAAGGAATCAAGTAAATTAAATAAAAAATAGATATTAATAAATACATACCAAATTCCATTAATTTCGAGGAGCTAAAATTTCAAGAGCTAATGTTTTATAAACTACTCGTGACGATTGATATAATAGACGTGATATAATAGACGATTTTGTTATTATAGTAGTTATTATAGTTATTATTTTTTAGTTATTATAGCAGGACTATTTTAGGCGGCTAGCAGTTCCAGCAACTGCATATTTAAAGTGAAGCGGACAGCAAGAGGGATTCCGTACAAAAGACAGATTCGAGGCCATTAGCCCTTTATGGGCTAAAATATGCCTGCTATCAGTTAACACTGTACCGAAAATTCTAAAGAAATGCTTCTTTTAAAAATGCTCTGCTATATTATATATGGTGTAAGAGCAATGGAATTATTATTTATTTATAAAGTTAAAAAGGCAAAAAAACTTGCGTAGGTCATCTTGTTAAGGAAATTGAACGGTGATATGATGAATTGAGGGAAAGTAACAGGAATTCTAGAAAAGCATACTTTTAAAAATTTTAGGATTTTGCTATTGAATTTTAGATGGTGCAAGTAGCAAGAAAGCGAAGTTTAACAGTAAAGTTCAAAAAGTTGTGCTAGCAAGGTGATTCCAAGAGTGGATTAATAAACTGCGAGCACAGAAATAGCATGGAAAGCCTTAACAAGCCATCTGACGTGACGTTAAAATCTGAACGCTTTCAGATTTTCTTTCTTTTTTATTTATTTTATTTTTTAAGGGAGAGTGATTTTTTTTTATTCATTTATTTATTTTTGTAAAGAGGCTATTTTAGAATAGCTTATCATTACTTGTATTCTTTCTTATTCTTCAGATTTCGTGAGTAGATACAGAAAATATGCAAAGAATTAAAAAAAAAAAATTGATGCCATTTTGAATGCGACTGCCAAAAAAACTCACCGAAAATCAAACGAGAAATATTTCGTTACCAAAAACACTAATGCAATCGGTATATCGAGGAGGACCGGATAACCAGCAAGTCATGGAGAAGTAAGAACTTGAAAAATCACTCAGAATTTCTCAGATTCGCATAAATAACGTTAGATAAGTAATGACTTACAATATTAGCAGAAAAAAAAAATCAACTTATTGAAAACAAAGAATATTATGAAACTGCATTATGTGACAGTGAATCATTTATGGCACTGGCAGAAAATCGACGAAAATAATGAAACAGTTTAAAGAACAGAAATCAGATGAATTTAAAATTTTTTGAAATCCATAAAAGAAAAATTAACTTTATAGTACTTTTATAGTCCATTAAAGTCAACGCATTATCAGTCTCATATTAAGGCATTTTGACTTTTTTCTGTCCCCATGTCTTCAGCATGGAGGTAGGAAAGGGAGGAGGGGCCAACCCGCGCTAAAAGTGAAGCACTGCTTTGAAGCTTGGGTCACCAGATGGGGTGTTCTTTGTTTACATTCAGAAGCTCTCTTGACAAGATTCTGATAGTATTTCGACACACGACAGTTCCATAGAAATCGAAAAAGGGACACTTTCGCATGAAAGAAACATTCATAGTGTGATGGATAATAGCAATTTGTATAGTTTAATGACATTTTACGCAAAAATCACATCTGGTTATTTTTTTTTCGATAACTAACACAGCGATTTTGATTATGAATTTGTTTATAAAAATTCTAAGCTGTTGCACTACAAAAATATAGATTTAAGAAAAATGTTATGCTTAAAGAATGAAAAATAACCTTACGGTACCAAAATTGTATCGTTCTTTCGATACCCTTGATAGGTATTCGCTAACTTTTATTTTTTTTTCCAAACGCAAAATGTTTTAAATAAAACAAATTTTTTTCACATCCATATATTATTGTAAACATGTACTTTAAAATTTTTAGAAGAGAGGCTTACTTGCTGCTCCTTTTAAACCCATCGTTTTAATTTTATATTTTGAAAAAATATCACTTTGGGTTACACGTTTTATAAATACAAAATTATGTATGTTAAAATTTGTAATTAGGACATAGGGCAGATATTAAATAGAGTGCATGCAAGGGCTATTGCCTAAAGAGAGAGATGCCATCGTGGACATTATCTAATTTTATAAGTTATAAAGTTATCTAAATATATAATAACCTTAATATTGAATGTAAACATAAATTGAAATCCTGTTGACAAATACGTTATAAAACTATTTAAGCAAGAATTGTTCGTATTGGAAAGCAATCTGTTAAAAGGTATTGTAAGCAAATGCTATGAGATGCGCACTTAAGAACGTAATAAAGAGTTTTTGGAATATGTTTGTTGGAATGAAGGGTAAAAAAAAAAAAAAAAAAAAAAAAAAAAAAAAAAAAAATCTGATAAGTATAATTAAAAGAATTATTCCTTACATTTTAATAATACTCAGTTACAGTTTTAATAATACTTAAAAAAAAAAAAATTATTTTATTCCCTTTCAGAAAATGTTCAGAGAAAAGTCAAGTACTATTTAATTCCTAATAATTCTCTAATTTAAAATGAACCGAATAGAGCATTAATTATAAATTGACTTACATTTTTCGATTTAAAAAGATGCCTCAGAAGCCAAAAAATCATGTCATATTTAAGAACTATTTTAGGAAGAAGCTCTCTAAATAGAAAAGAAATAATGCATAATTTTTAATTTAATAATACAATAAACTTGATCTTAATTTTGTACCTTAACCGATAAAATCGAATTACAACCTTATTTTTTTTTTCTAATGTAATTAACGAAAACTTGTGAAAATATTTCTTCAAATTAAGCCATTCTGAGAAACTGTCCTGCGAAAAGTATAGCATTTAATTCCGTTCAGAATGAAATGTGTTTAAAAAATATGTTGTTTTCACATACTTAGGACCTCTGAAGTGTTGTAGAAAAAGAAAATATATACATTTATATGTATATTACGACGTAATTACAAATATTTACACCAGAACGCGTCAAATCCCATAGAACTCAATGGTAAATGACCCCAATGTTTTGGTTACCACGTAGGATCGCCGGTGCTTCAGAGCAGGGTACGGGAGAAACTTGTTTAGGGGGACTCCATCTTACTTCCTACCTCCATGGTCTTCAGCTGGTCGCGGGAAGAGACGATCAAAGATTGCAACAAGGAAACATTCGGCGGTTTCAAGATAAAGTCCTCCGAAATCTTAGTATGGAGAAAAAACACTGTCCCTAACCGTTTTGGGGGGCAAAGGGGGTGAATAAGCTTTTATCAGTTTCCACAATTTTGTACCGACCATCGAATTTAACGTTACAATCTGAAAGGAAGGAACTGGGATACACGTTTCAGTCAACTTCCGATCAATCGAATTCATGGCAGATGATCACTGAATCAAAAGAAGAGATTGCATAGAAAATCCTATCCAAAAACAGATAATATATTTTAGAGAAAGCAAATTTAGATGCCATAGTAATAAATGCTACCGTTATGGTTTGGTAAAATTACTAAGATTTGTTAAAAAAAATTAATCCTAAAACTTTACAGACGCCTTATGTAGTGTTTAAAAGCATAATTTTAAAATTAAAAGAAAATAACTTTATTTAATTTTAATGTATGCATTTATTAGTTTTATATACTTTTTGTATATACCTTATAATTTTTTATATACTTTTTAATTATTCATTACTTATTTGTTTACTTCATTATTTAACTACTTATACTTTTTTTAATTAATAAATTATTATTTGTTAATTTGTCGTTCATTTATCAGGTATTCTTCTGTTATCGGAATAGTATTCAGAATTGTATGCATGTATGTATGAATGTATGTGCGTATATGTGCGCATGTATACACAAATATACATAAGTACATATATATTATATACACGCATACATGAACACATACAAACACGCATATATACGCACCTTTCTGAATCCTGTTTAAATTATTGATTCATAACTAAATAAAAAGTAATTTACTTTTCTATTGCTGATTATTCACTACTTTATTTGTTATTATTTTACTTAGAATTTTTTAAATTTTAATTGAGTGTTTACTGTAGGAATTCGGATTTATCACTTTTAGAAATTATTATCTGGAAACGATTAAAGTTAAAAGGTAGGCAGCAAAAGAAGTACCACATGAAATCGTATGACAAGAATTATTGATTTATCACAAATATTTTCTAAAAATTTGGTAATTTTTTAAATCATCATTGGAAAAATTTTTCTCCTTAAAATGAGAATGAATTTGTGGCGCCATCTGTTTATAAACACGTAAACTAAGATTCCCTTTGTATTAAATCACGCACAAAAATCAGAATAGACTTTTTCCTATTTTTTAAACAGCAGATTCAAGAGATTAATGTTTATATAATGTTGCTAATTCCTTATTTTCATCTAGCTTAATAAAGAACTTGGCGTTTTTATTTGAAAAATTAAACGAATTTTGAAAGACGAAAAGACTTACACGATCTTTAATGATTAAGCGAATTTAATATTACATAAATCTTCTTAAGCATCGTCGACGAATTTAATGCGATGAACTCTCGATTTACTGAGGAAATAAACCATGGCCACTTCCATTATTAACTCAAAAATCACGGTTCATCCAAAGGCAGTTAAAGAAACACGGAAAAGAGGAATAATTCATACAAGTATTATAATTAACAGGAAAGTTTTTGAAATAAAATAAAATTTTAACGGTCGCCCAAAAGGGTTTGTTAAGGTATTTTTACGCTGTCATTGAGCTCGCAGTCTACCACGCTGCTTTTGCACTCCCTTCTGCTAGCCCAATCCTTTTTGCCTTTTTAGCTTTATTATTGAGCGTCATTCAAAATTTGCTGGCTGTAGGTACCGTCGTTTTTTCACAGTGCAAGGAAAATACATGTATACATGCAGCTTCTTCATTATTTAATTTTTTTTAAATAATAGAGTGCTATAATATTTGGTGGCAACAATTTGAAATGTGATACAGCCATTTACAGTGGAAGATACAAACCCTCTTTCGATATTGATAGCCTATTTAGGCTGCCCTTTTGGGTTAATAAATAAAAGTACTTTAAATACTAAATAATAATTTATCTGTATTTTCAATAGCTTAATCTCGAACACATTTTCCCATGGTTACACAAATTAAATCCGTGTCCAAAACAGAAAGAACTGATTGTAAAACGAAGGAAGAACATCATTAGAAATGAAGAAACTGAGTTATAAATGGTACTCTCTCTGTAATAATAGCAGTATTTGATGAATTTAATTTTTAAAATAACAGAAAAGAAAGTAAATACAGAACGCAACATTTTTATAAAAAATCTACATCAAATTAAACAATAAATTAAAAACATTACTTTTAATTTTTATTTTGAGTGTTCATATAGTTTTTGGACTTTTCAATAATTTCCTTAACCGAATTTGAAACTTGTAGATAGGATTCCTTGTTCTTCATTGCTTCCAGTATAATTTGTGGAGCCATCATTCTTCATTGCTTCCAGTATAATTTGTTGAAGTGACAGAAACGTATCTGTCCAATATTTCGGAAGAAATATTATCGAAGGCTATGTTTACCACTTTTGTGTTGCCTCTTCTGCGAAGAGGAATGTGTCTATGTGTTTCTCCATAATTTCTGCATTTACGCTCACAGTTCTGTTTTTTCAGAGAATCAACATTGGCAACCTTGACAATTATATTCAGAAGCACGTCTCGAAATTCTTGATAGTCATTCTGTTGTACTTAAATACAGTGGGTTGATCTTCACAATCTTGAAATAAGGCAACTGACTTCAATGAGCGGATCAAATGAGAAAAATAGTTAAATTCTTAATAATTAGGTTAACCTAAAAATTGAGAGATGTGTCAAAACAAACGACATATATCATTAAACATTGATTTTGATTGAAAGCTTCGTAATTTTGCGCCACAACATAAATTACTGTCGCATTCGCTAATAATTCCCGTTTAAATATTCACTTACTACTATTACGAGGGTTGGAACTTTAATAGTGGCAACTATTTATTTACAAGGAACACAAAAGTGATTCATGTCACCATGTTTTACAGTCCTTCAATATAGTCGCCAGCATTGTGTACAACCCGTTTCCAAAGATGTGGAAGTCGCAGAATACCTGTAGCAGCGCCTGTTTTGTTGATAGTTTGAATGGACCGGTCTACTGCCTCAAGAATCTCAGGAACAGTTTGGAAGCGAGTGCCACGAAGTGGTTCCTTCATCTTAAGAATTAAGTCATAGTCACAAGGGCTTAGATCTGGGGAGTATGGTGGATGGTAAAGCACTTCCCAGCCCCATCGCTTGAACAAATCAGTCACAGCTTGCGCTGCATGCGGCCGAGCATTGTCATGCAAAATGAGAGAAGCGTTCTGCAGAAAGTGTCGCCGTTTTTTTCTCAAAGCTGGTCAGGGATTGTGCTCCAAATATGAGCAGTAATACTGCGCAGTGACGGTCTGCTGTGGGGGAACGGTATGCGTTAGGATGACACCATCACAGTCGTACACGAGAATCACCATAACTTTCACATTGCTGTGGTTCTGACGAAATTTCGAACGTCGAGGTGACCCCGTGATGATGCCATTCGTTTGATTGGCGTTTCGGTTCTGGCTGGTGCGTTCGGGCCCAAGTCTCATCCAGCGTAAAAAAGCATCTCCTTCGCGCTCATAGCGCTCCAGGTAGGTTTGGGCAGCATCGTATCGTAGCCTTTTCTGCATTTCCGTCAATTGATGTGGAACCCATCGTGAAGCAATTTTTCTCATGGACAGGCGTTCCTTCAGAATGTGCAGCACAGTCGTATGCGCTAATCCTGTTTGTCCGGCCAGCTGACGAATCGTTTGGTGGCGATCACTGTCCATTAGTGCGGCAACAGCTTGCACATCTGCATCGCTGACACTCGGACGACCTGGCCGCAGCACGTCTACCAAATTTTGGCGTCTTTCATTGAATGCTTTCACCCATCTTGCTACGGTTCTGTAAGGCAATGCAGATTCCCCGCAAGCCTCTTGAAGCCCTTGATGACACTGTCGTGTTGTACGACCTCTGGCACATTCAATTTTTATTCAACATCGTTGATCTTGATCCAAATCCACTCCAGATCACGTACTGTTAAATTATGTACAGTTGAGGATTAAAATAACTCCTAAATACTATGATCTACTATCACAACTATTATTCCGAGAATTATATTTTCCTTTGTCATATTTTTCGTAGAAAGTTTTGTTTTACATTGATAAGTCGTGATAATAATTTTTCCTTTGTTTCACAACAAAGAAGTTACATTTTTTTTTAGACAGAGGCTGGTTAATCGGGAATTTAATGTTATTAATTTCAAAGTTTCCATGAAGTTTCAAACTTAATAAAAACAGATGTTTTAATTTAAATTTTGAATGATGAAATATCTTAAACTTTTATGTCTTAAACGACGTTAGTGATGAGTTTGTGTAATTAAGAAGTATCTTAAGCTCCTATGAATACTTTAAACGGAATTACTGGTGAGGAATTTTTAAAAGACATGTAGAATAATTTTAATTTTATTCCTCTGAAGGTGAAAGCTGGTGTATTTTGGTCTTACTTCCGTAAAGCTACATTGCCACTCATTTTTCTGGTAGTATTCGGTTTCAGCCTGTTTCAAGGCTTTGAAGTAAGTGCATAAATAATAAGTAACGTGTATTTTATTATTTTTATAGTCATAAGAAGAAAAGCACGAAGCTATAAAATGCATCTTTTCGTTCTTCAGATCGGTTCGAATGTCTGGCTGAGCTTATGGAGCAACGACCAACTACTTGCCGATGGATCACAGGACACACAACTGAGAAATTTAAGAATAGGAGTGTATGGAGCTTTAGGATTAGCAGGAGGTAATTAATTGTGAAGCAAATCAAATTTAATAAGTGGCACAAGCTCCGAGTATCTTCAGTTTTCATAAAAAGATTTTACATGAATTTCATATGAAATATGAATGTTCATTATATTTAAGAGTCAATAAAACTTCAGTACAATGTTAACACCTAAAGTATCACAGAAATTAATTTCATTTGAAACCTAAGTCATTAGTGTAAAGTTCTGAACGTCGGAAATGCCTTTTAATAAGTTTGAAAAGTTTTAAATAAATTACGTTGCAACATTAAGCTGCCATATATTTGTCACCCAGATGCCGGGTCCTTTGAGACAACTTAAGACCCCAAACAAATAGCTCTTTCAAGAACCTCCACGGTTTACTTTTCGTGCTCCAGTGCTTCTTTTGTGTATGTCCGAAACAATGTTATCCATGATTAACTGAACATTGTACAACTCCGAACTAAAATATTTTATTTTAGTTTATATATAATATTGATTATATATATAAATATTAAATAAATATATTAATGAGAAATATCTCAAACTCTGAAATCAGAATCTACATATATAGTATGACCAACAAAACTAATATATAACTATATAACAGGATGACCAACAACAACAAAACAAAACAAACAAACAAAACAAAATAATAAAAAAAAAAAAGACCAACGGGAACTTTTAAACCCAAGCATTGGGAGGGAAAATAAATGTATCATGTTTTGTCCCTGAATGTATTATAAATTTTGTGTTGTACTTACATTAACGCAGTATTTCTATTTATTATATTTCTTGTGTAAATATGTTATTACTTACTGGCAGTGGGTGATTAGTATTTACCTTATGAATTATACAGGTGCTCAGCAGCCTTCGTATTCTAATTTTTTAGTATTCTAATTAAATTTTAATAGCTTAGAAGGGCAAGGGCAATAGCTTGCACTTCTATGTTTTTAGTATTCTAATTCAATTTAAAAAGTATTAATATTTAATTATTATTTAAGATAAATAATCTAAGTTATTGTCAGAATTTAACTCGTAACGTTAAATTTAATTCGATTAGGGGTAGGGTCTCGCCCCCAGGCACACAGGTGTTATACACAGTAGTAGTAGTAACGGAGGACGTGAGCACCATCCCCCTACCATTACGGTTAATCAGTTCTGTCCACGTCTGCCCTTATCTAGTATTTATTAATAAATAAAAGGTTTTTACATTGCCATATAGTGTGCCATATAGTGCCATATTAAAAAAATAAATAAAAATAAATATCTTAAAGTAGTTCTTTAGAGTCCTTCATGAAGTGTGTACACACAGTATGTATGCACAGTTAAACAAGGCAAGCTTCTTTTGTGAAAGAAAAGCAGGGTTGTCAAGAGGCATAAGATGATTTTGGAGGCCGTAATGACGTCTTGGCCACGCACCTCAGCTAGCGTTATCACAACTTGAAATATTCCATTGTCTCATACCGGTGACTATCAACCGACAGGTTACCGGTAATAACGACAATGATGGACAGAAATGACTTTCTTTAATTTATTTTAATAGCCCAACTAAATTTATTGTTCAGTACCACACTGTTGACCACCGGTTCGACACCGGCGACCAATAACCTTTAGAGGCAGTAGTATCCTCCGATTTAATTTATTTTAAATATATATTTAAATTTGCTTTGCTGGGTCTTGACAGCTACCACTGGCCTTCCATATAATTTTAGCATTAGAAATATTCTTCTTTTAAAATTTAAAATTTTTGGATTTTTCACGCCACGGTTATGGGTACGTTATGTCATCATGTACTTATCATTCACTGAATTTGGCAAAAGTTGCAATTGCGCGATCTTTAATTCATCTTTGACGCTCCTCGCAAAGAACTAGTTCTCAAAATTTTGCCGTATCTGTAACTGCTTCTGCAATTTGTTGAGTGATTTAAAAAAACATTTCTTAGTAATTTGACCAATGACTTTGATGGTAGTCAGAGACAATCAGCCAAATTTTGTTTTAACAACTAAGCCTGCCAGCGGGTGAGCGTTAAAATCGCTGAACACTGGTAGATCGGTCTGGGACTCGAAGCTCGGCGAATGGGCTGGCTGCATGGGCATATTCCCTATATGGTAGTGTGTATACGAGCCAGTTTCCCTGAAAAAGTTCTCCATGAAGGATTTCCTGCTCATCCCTGCCCTTAAATAGGTAGCTCTCGAGTGCTTTGTCATAATCAAATAAACCATTTATTTTAACAGTCCTGTAAATTTACATTGTCACCTTGTACCGCTGACCGTCATCTCGCAGTTTTTTTTGGGGGGTTCTTTGTGGGAGTTTTCATAAACAACCGGGATGAAAAGCACACACAAGCAATCCATTAATATGGATAGTTCTATTATTAAGGATTTCCCGAACCTGTTTGTCAAATGGCATCATTTTGATATGTCTGTGTCAACAAACGCAATCTCTTGCGATTGCTAAAATGGACATATGGGATCGCGTTTGGAAAGAACATAACTATCGCATTAATATCTTTCCTGGTGGAAAAGGAATACGTAGAACATTTGAAACTTAACCATGTAAACTTCAGGGTATATTCAATATATTCAAATTCTTCAGGATATATCCCTGTAAATATTTCATATATTACTATTCTTGTTTCTATAAAACATTAAATAATTCGGTTTCTTTTGAGTAAATATGTATACGAATTTTAAAGAGTTCTTTCCACTCTTATTGAAATTTAAATAAGAAGAAGCAAAAATGCATTTACTTCTTCTTGATGTTACAACGAAATTAACAAATTATATATTAGCTTTCAATATTATCGGAGTAAAACTTCTGCTTAAACATGTTTCTAAAGACAGATAAGCTATAACGACGTTTCAGGAGGCTCGTAATGCATTACTCATTTTTACAATTTCATACAATATTTTTTTTTAATTTTCAATCTACTACACCTTTCCACTCCAATCTGACCTGAATGATTTAGTTGCTCAATTTATCTCGTACTAATAAAAAAGTTTCTAACATCTGTAAAAACTGTGTTTAATAATTATAGCCCACTTTCAGAGACCTCTTTTCACAAATTTTGGTTTAATATTAATTACCTTATATCGCTAATTATATTTACCTTTCTAGGTTTATGCATTTTATTGGCGACTTTCGTGTTGGCAGCTGCAGCTACGAAAGCATCCATTCGTCTGCATCAGGATATGTTGTGGAGCATTATGCGTTCTCCTATGTTCTTCTTCGACACCACACCTTTGGGCAGGATTTTAAACAGGTGAGTAAATTGAACAGTCTATTTACTGCCTGATTTATTGCCTACGCCCACAATGTTCGGGCACCCAAGTCATCGCATAACTATGCTTTCCTTAAGGAAAATAAAGTCAGTCGAGTTCGCCTAAACCATTTTCAGATCAAAAATTCATCTCCGCAATCAACGGGTAGCAACTATAAGAAGGTTTGAAGGAAGGGGTCGATTAACGGAATTTCCTTTTCCCTTGACGGGCCCACCAGCGGCCGAGCGGTAAAGTCGCTGAACACTGGTAGTTCGGTTCGAGGTTCGAATCCCGCGAACGGGCTGGCTGCATGGGTGTTTTCGTGGTTTTCCCCATGTGTAACGTGTATACGAGCCAGTTTCTCTTAGAAAGACCTCCACGAAGGCATTCCTTCCCTTTGGCAGATAGCTCTAGTGTGCTTTGCCATAATTAAATACACCAACACCACCTTTTCCCTTGACGCTTCCGGAGCAGCGTACGCTCTTCCAGTTCCCGCTGTGTTTTTCTAATTGTCGTGCCAAGTGTCACACGACAGCTACTCTATTGCTGTCTACTGATCTCTAATTCCTACATTTATTTTCAAATCACTAGCTTATACCAGATATCTACAGTTTTTAGTAAACTGTTTTTTAACTGAACTTCGATTCATGATTGTTGAAGCATTTTTCTTAACTCTTTTTAACTTGTGTTATAGTTTGAGCGTTATAGAGAAGACCTTGATATTACGTAGAATATCTTATGTAATGAATTCAAACAGACATTTGAATATATAGGAGAATATATTTGAATATATAGGAGAGGCACAGAACAATAGAGTCTAATTAACAATTATAAGTCGAATAGATCCGACTGAAAAATCTCCAGTATTAATTATATGTGCACCTTCATTAAAATTATTGCGATTATATGACAAGAAAAGAAAATGCCGAAAAGAATTATAAAATTTGGGAGAAATTTCGATATCCAATCCGCAAAGTAACGAGGACCATTCAATGATTTGGACGAAGAGATATCACAGAACTGAGACGTCATGTCCCATTTCAGGCCTTCCTAGTTGCGGCGTTTTTAAAAATCGTTTCATTTCAGCTTTTCTATTCAGAGCCAACATCCAAAAATATGATCGACAGTAGCGGTCACTGTGAAATATGTGGAAAATCATGTTTCAGTGATGTTCCTGGCCTTTAAATTTTGATATTCATGTTTTATCTTGTCAAAACTGCTATTATATCTAATTGCCTTCGGAAACATTACTGGAGTTCTGAGTAGGAACAGGGAATTTACTCAAACTATGTTCGTGTGTGCATAGAAGAGACAACACCAATAAGAAGGGTTAACTTTACCATTTATTCCCCACAGCGAATAGTCGCTCCCGCCCTTAGGGATACAGAGACCAGCACTTTTGATCTAAAACGTAGAAAATAAGACTAACTAACTAAATAATACTAAACTAAATGCTTATATAGAAACTATTAACGTCAACATTGGCCTTTTAACGCTACGTATGTAGTGAGCGAAATGCAAATACTACAATACGTTTTAGTATATCAGCAGGAATTAAGTTCAGGCCTTAAAGGCAGACATAAACTGACAGAAAAGCACGCGCGTGGCAAGGCAGCAAGAAGTCTCTCTCTCGGCTAAAAGACACTTCTTAAATACCTTTACAATTTGCAACTCATTAACATAAAGTTCCTACTCGCGCTTATTCTGGCCGGAAATGGAAAATCAGAGAAGATAGCAAAGTTTTAAAATTAAATAAACGTTAGTAAAACTTAAAATCCTTATACAATCTGAGCTTTCAGATATATAGTACACTAAACACCACTTTTTTTAATAACTTCATTTTCAATTCAACGTTATTATTAGTTCGAGGCTTGACCACATCGATTTTCTAAATACTCGTAGCTAAAATAGTTTTAGAATTCTACACGTTAAATGAAAGTTTAGAACACTTGAGGGCTGAATTAACATTATATCTAAATTAAAAACGTAATACTCCAAAGATCTATAAAATCATAAGCGATGGTTTTCTAATAAAAGCAGATTTATTATTTTACTAATTTTTGAATAATGGTATTTCGTTGTTGACGAAAATGTTAAACGGATTTTTTTTTTAAATATATTTATTACGGTCATATACTATACGCTATTCAAATACAGAATGTGTCGTCCTTTCCGGGCTGAAGTAAGTCTTTTTCATCCACCTTACAAAAGCTTTCCATTTTTGGTTTCTCTTATGTAACGCAAAATTTATGTCGGATTACCTAAAAGATGAGAACTGTAATTTTGAATTTCTGATTCGGAAGTAAATAGTGAGAGCGTTTAAACACTAATAAACTTCTGATTGCCAAAAAAGCAGAACAGATTTAATGTGAAGCGAGCGAAGTCAGTTTGGTAAGCACATAATACAATTTTAAAATATGAAGTGCTTTAAATAAGAATTTCTTCCAAGTTACGAAAGAGAGGCTGAAAAGGCACAATTTTTGATGTTCTAATCGCAAATACCTGCAAGAAGAAAAGGAAAAGCCTAAAATGGTACAATTTTGTTGCCAGCTCTAGATAGCCTGAACTAAGAACTCCTGAAATGGGACATCACGCACTGAGAACTATCAGAGGGAGGTCATATTGTTACTTGTAGGTGGAGGAAGGAATTTTTGAGAGAAATGCTATCTAGACTTCCTCTGATAATTCTTCCCTTTTCCGATAACTGTTCGCACAAATCACTTCAAACTCCTCACAACTAAGGAGGTTAGAATAGATGGTGTAAGTATAAAGTCACAAAAGTTAAGCTAAGAAATGTCATCAACATCATGTCACGACTTATCATGGGCGTTGCGTAGCGTACCGATAAGACTACTAAACATATTATTAAATAAAATAACACTAGTTTTACAGCAAATATCAACGTACGCAGGTTCAGAAAGGTGTCTTTAGGCATAATTTGCATAAAATACCATTGAAACTTCGAATGGTTTTCAAGATTTTAGCATTTATCTTATAATTCCTATTTACACATTTTTATGCACCTAGATTTTATCAAATTTGAAACGGTTATTCGCAGTCATTGTAATTTTCTCTATATACTAAGTAGAAAATCATTTATGTTAAGTATTAAATTTGGAACGGGAGACTTATGAACGTTCAATGATGACTAGCTAAGATGTCGACAGCAAGGATTAGGACAATGGTTCCCAAACTGCGCTTCGCGCCTCTCTTCACAGGGGCGCAGCGAAATACTGTAAAAGCTTCATAATTAAGCAAACCAAGACATTTGGCCTAATTAGACAAAAAACAAAGTGCGAAGCTAAAAATATCTAGATTTTTTGCCTGGTTTGCTTTTAGTTGACCCTGTAAAAAACTAAAATTGCCGGCGCAGAATATTCTTTCGAACACTAGACGGCAATGCTGCACCTTCTCAATCACGCCATGCGATCGCGCTATACCTGACGGCAATCTAACCTGAAAATACACTGGTGTGCAAAAATTAAGGACGAGACGGTTTTTTCAATATAACTTTGTAAAAAAGCTTTCCAAATCAACACATTAATACCGTAAGATCCCAATACGTAAGGACTTAGTATGTAGCAACACTTACTAAAAGAGAAATCAGAGGGATAAAAAAGTTATTGAAAAAGTAGCACGGAGCGCAATGCGACTGAAGGCCGAAACATCCCTGTGATGGGTGTCCAGCAAGAAACATCGGTCTTAATAGGGGATATGATCTCCCCTGACTGCTAGGCAGGTTCACAGCGTCTGCCCATGCTGGAATGAGGGGTCAATGAGTGTTGAGGATGCTGCCCATTCGTGCAGCGCCATCGAAGCTCGGAATCGTTATGGTGGTAAGGTACGAGCTGCCAAGCGTCTGCCTAGAAAATCCCATACATGCTCGATGGGATTGAGATCCGGAGATCGTGCCGGCCAATCCATACGTTCAATATCCTCACTCTCTAAGAGCTGTTCGGCAGCTACTGTGCGATGACATGGTGCATTGTCGTCCATGAAAAGGAATTGCGGACCCATAGCGCCTCTAAAAAGACGCACATGTGGAAGAAGAATCTCGTTACAATAACGGGTCCCGTTGACTGAACCTACGTCGAAGATGTGAAGGTCTGTACGACTACCAAGCATGATGCCTCCCCAAACGAGAACACCGCCACCTCCATACCTGTCCCTTTCAATGATGTTCGAGGGATGATTGCGGCTTCCCCGCTCTCTCCAGATGAGTATGGGATGAGAATCGCTACTCAGACTGAATCTGCTCTCATCTGTAAAGAGTACTCGTCCCCATTCATTGTCTCTTCAATTCCGGTGTTCCCGGCACCACAGAGAACGCCTTCTCCGCGTTAGGGCAGGCGTTAGAGATACACACCGTACAGGGCGTCGTGCAAACAGACCACCACCGTGCAGTCTTCTGGCTAACGGTAAAACGCGATATCGGTGTCCATCGCCTGTGTCGTGTGTCTAGCGATTTCTCCCGCTGTCTGCCGCCTGTTTCTTCTGGCCTGTAAGCAATATACCGGTCATCTGCGGGTGTGGTTCCTCGTGGACGACCACTACTAAACCCCCGGATAGCTGTTTCTGTAGTTTGAAAGTGTCTCCAAAGTCGTGAAACGATGCTGTGAGCAATTTAACTGTGCAGCCGCACTTGTCACACTGCGGCCTTCCTCCAACTTCCCAATGATTCGACCTCGGTAAAAGCATCCAGATGTCGTCTAATAGATTGATTATTCGCCTTTCTCGCTGAGGCAGCAACTCGGTGTGATTTTAACTGCTATACGGCGTGCAATCTCTTTGCCAGAAATACTGATCTTACACAGACAACATGCTTTATACTACTCAGACACTCCCCCATTACGTCTACCTGCATATCTGCGCATGTGCTACCGTACATCACCTTACTTAATCTCCTGATTGGTCTTTCTGTCCGCTCTGCCTCTTCGTTCAGCTGATATGCTAATTTTTCGACTTCGTGCTTAATTTTTGCACACCAGTGTATGTATAAGGC